ACGGGGCACTTTGGTATTCTCGGGTGCGTTATACCCTGGACAAGAATAAGAAATTGTTCACAGGGAGGGACCTAGACTGGTTTGAGAGAGATAGTCAAATCGGTCCTTTGTTCCCGACTTGCGAGGATCTGGGTGTTCCTACTATCACTGGCCGCCTAGGTTCTAGTATAGAGGGAGGAGGCAAAAGGAATTCACGATCTTTGCAGCTAAAGGGCAGCAGTTCCTCATTAATCTACCTTCGCTTCGATATAAGAAGCAAGAAACTACCTGTCTGTGCCCTAAGAGACGAGCGGAAGAAGAAGGCAGCCACCGAGCAGCTATTAACAAGCAACATCGCTCCTCTTATTCAGTTGTTAATTCAGGACTTCGTATAACTATAACAAGCTAGCAATTCCCCCCTCCTTTCTTTAGGGGAGTCCTCTAGCCCCTTAAGATCTAACAATTCTCCAGCCGTCAATCACCCGCTTTGGAAAAGGAATGTTACCTGTTGCCTAGCTTAACGAAAAGAAATACGTAAGTACTAGATATACGAGTAAGACAAGTGTTCGGGGGAAGCGCCTCACCCTCGCTCGCGGGAAATCGACTAACAGATGCTGTCTTGGCTTAGTAAATCAATCACTACTAAAAAAAAAAATCCATGATACCATAGAAGTTACACAACAGAAGGTGCTGCGGGATAAGGAGAATAAGTGCTGGATACAAGTACCAGTGCAATAAAGAAATGTCACGAAAGCCGAGAGCCATCACGCCCGAACCAGAAACCCCTTCTTATGCTGCTTGCAACTACGAGGTTTCTGATTGACTTCACTTTTTCCAGGAATAGCCAGTCCCAGGGAACCAAGCCCTCTATCCCGCCTATGCCTGCATAGTCGACCTTAGGATAGGTCTGCCTAATGAGGTTCCAGGCTGTTTTGGAGTTTCAATTTCCATCTGGGCTGGGAGACCAAACGAGCCTGTCTTCAACAGAGAGCTGCGGGAGTTCCTACAGGGCAATCTCTTGCATTAAAAACTGTCCAGCCATTCTGCGGCTAGGAGGAAGGTTCCAATGCCCAAACTTAGCTTACCTAAAGTGAGAAAGAGGGCTTTGCTTTGCTTTATTGGAATGTTTGCTTTGGCTTACTTCCTAGAATACCATCTCGGTTTGATTCACAACAAAAAGAACGATCCCTTGGGTGTACAATTGGATGTTTTCAGAGCACATGACTCACAAGCATTGTGTTATATTTGGTTGGTTTTCTTGAGCCCTTAGATTACCTGGAATATGGTCAGATCGATCGAATTTCCTTATATTTGTTCGATGCAAATTTGATTCTACTGATTCTAGGTTTGGGATAAAACTTGTTGAGTGCCTTACAGTGATTGATTGTCGGCAATTCAGCTTTTGTTCAGTTGAGTTATGGATTGTAGCCTATAGGTTTTAGTGGAGTAGCTTTGTGGGAAAGTGGAGCCTTATGGAGTAGCTTTGTGGGTTGTTTAGGGCGCGGTTGGTAACGCTTCTGTTTCTCTATTTTTCTGTTCTTCTGTTCCCTGGAACAAAAGAAGAACAGAAATTCGTTTGGTAACGCATTTTATTTTTCTATTTCCTGGAATAGAAAAGTGGCCAAGAAATAGATTTGGAGCAGAAATAAGAAGTAGAAAAAATCTACTTCTTTGTTCTTAGAAATAGAAATAGAAATAGAAAGGTCCGGTCCTCAAGCCACGACCTCAGCTCCTCCTCCATCCTCCGTCATCTACAAACCGTCTCAAAGCACCGGTCCGGTCCATTCTCGGCGGAAATAATAAAAAAAATTATAAAAAATTAATTAAATTATAAAAAATTCATAAATTCATAAAATTCATAAAAATCAGAAAAAATCAGAAAACCCATAAAAATTTGCAAAATTTCGAAATTGAAAAATTTTAAAAAAATTCATAAAAAGCTTTCGGGAAAATAAAAAGAGACAAATTTCGGGAAAGTAAAAAGTTTTAATAAACTTTTCCCCAAAAAAATCAAAAATAAAAAATTCACATAATGGATTAGAATAAATTAAAAAATTCCGAAAATTCATAAAAATTAGAAAAATTTCAGAAAAATCCCATAAAAAATTAGAAAATTAAAAAATTCCCAAAATTCATATAAATCAGAAAAATTCTCAGAAAATCCATAAAAATCAGAAAAACTCAGAAAACCCTTAAATATTTGCAAAATTCCGAAATTGAAAATATTAAAAAAATTTCATAAATTTTTTTTGGAAAAATAAAAAGAAACAGATTTAGGGAAAGTAAAAAATTTTAATAAATTTTACCCCAAAAAAATATAAAAAAATTCACATAATGGTTTAGAATACCTGTGGTCACCCACTTTGAGTGAAATTTAAATTTTTGAGGTGCCCAAGTGGTATTTTTGAAGATTCCTTAGTTTAGGGATTAAAAGGGGTTTTAAACCCCTAAAAAGGATTAGACAAACCAATAAATCATGCTTATTGATTTTTTTCACTTATAACTTGTACTTATAGTTAAATAAAAGATATAGATTTGAATGCCAAAAATTGAGAATAGAAATTTTGTGCAGTTACCAAACGCATTTATGTTCTTTTTCTATTCCAGGAATATAAATTTTGTGCAGTTACCAAACACATTTCTATTCTAGAAATAGAAATTTTGTGCAGTTACCAAACGCATTATTTTGCTCAGAAACTCTTCCAGGAAATAGAAATAGAAAAAACTATTTCTGAAAAGAAATTGTTCTCAGAAATAGAAACGTTACCATACGCACCCTTACTTATTCCACTCTTGTCGCATTGGATTGTGTAAATAGTTCTTTCAGCTCACCAGGAAGGACTGCAAATTATACTGAAATATTGTTTTGAGTTGATGTTTCCCTTAAACTGTTCCCCTCACTTGATTTGTCAAAATAGCTTGCAAGAGACATAAGAAAGTTACTTCATTGCTTGTAATTGAATGAGCTTGTGACCACATTTCAATCTGAAATTTTTTCTACTTGTAAATGCAGAACTTAGAGTGAGGTCCAAGGTTCATAAAGCTGTTTATAATCACACTCTTGCCACAATATTGGTGGAGTATGCATCTGCCGTAAGTGTTCTCTAAAAAAATTTCACATTTACCTAGAGCCTGTTGTTGTTATGCATCAGGTTTCACCATTTTAATACAATAAAATTATGATCTAATGCAAAGCTTTTTGTTGCAGGTTTACATGTCAAATTTGACAGAACTTTTTAGTTGGACATGTCCTAGATGTGATGGAAAGACTAAGTTAATTGACTACATCTTTATAAAACATTGTTGCTAAGGTTGCGTGAAGAATGGATCCTTAGTACCAAATAGCCAATTCTTGAGACGAGATTATGTGGGCATATGTTGCCTTGTCTTATGAGCTTGTGAACTGTTTATTAATGCCTTTTTGAAAGCAGGGGTTTGAAGTCATTAAACTGATAATTGATGTTTAGCACTGCTTACAGGTATATAATTCGTAGTACGGTGGCCTATCAATTTGGATGCTTGTGATGCCTCCATGTTTGAATTGCATCTAATCGTCTCTCTCTCTCTCTCTCTCTCTCTCTCTCTCTCTCTCTCTCTCTCTCTCTCTCTCTCTCTCTCTCTCTCTCTCTCTCTATATATATATATATATATATATTGTACATACCTATAGGCATATGTCGGGGTGGCCGAGGACCTTAATGCTATGGTTATAGCTTTCAGAGGTACTCAAGAACATATGTATGCATGTTAACTTTAGCAATTCTTCCCCTTATAATTGACATGCAAAGGATTTGACGAAAATTTAAGCTAAGAAGAGAAGCACATAGGTCTACTGTCCCTACGAACAGAAAAAGGGTGAATCATATCCACTAGGACACTTTCTTGTAATTTTAGATGGAGTCATGAAAAGATCACATAGTTAACTAATTTTGTTGTGTGAAAAATTCTGCTGCGTCTCTTTGTCATTTGAGCTTTTCAGTTAGTGATTACTTCTATTTATGTCTACAGCTTACGGAATTGGGTTGAAGATCTCTACTGGAAACAGCTTGACATAAACTACCCTGGCATGCCTGGTGCCATGGTGAGTACTAGAGATGATAAGCCTCTTGCAACCTGTGGATACTTCTGATTTAGATTGAGTTACAGATTGAGTTACAATCTTACTCTATTGATTGTTGCTTAGGTTCATCATGGATTTTATTTTGCTTATCACAATACAACAATTTGACTTGGTATTTTGTGGGTGCGCATGGTAACGATTCTGTGCCCGGAAACTGATTCTGCTAAAAAATGATTCTTTTTTATTTTGTGTCCGGGAACTGATTCTGAGCATTTGAAGGCGTTTGGTAACGACCCAAAATTTCCATTCCTGAAATAGAAAAAGAACAGAAATGCGTTTGGTAACGGCACAAATTTTTTTTATTAATAATATTTTAAATATTTTAATATTTCTTTCTTTTTTTTCATTTTTTATTTTTTTCTTCTCCTCCTTGACCATGGCCGGTAAAATATTTTTTATTAAAATATTTTTTTATTTTTTTGGCCATGGCTAGTAAAATAATTTTTTTATAAATAAACTTTTTTATTAAATTTTTTTTTTTTCGTCATGGCCTAGTCACCGGTAGAGGTGAGCGCGGTTCCAAGGTAGAACCGGGAACTGGACCCGGTGGATCCGGTTCGGTTCCAGATTCTATGGACAAAGGGTCCGATTCCCGGTTCCCATTTTTAGGAACCGGGGAACCGGAACCGAAATCAAAACCGGTTTACTTTACTCTCTAAAAACCCTAACTTTCGTTAGTTTCTTGTTTCTTCCCCATATTTCCCCTCGCTTGGTCCTCCTCCAGTCTGCTCTCTCTCGCACTCCCCGCACCCACGACTCGACGAGCTTGCCTCTCCTCTCTCCGTTCGGCGTCGCCTCGGCTCTTCCTCTGTCTTCATCAACCGCACCCAGCAGAGGAGCTCCGCCGCGGCGGCGCCGGCCGCGAGGGCGCGCAGCGGCAGATTGGGGGCGGCGACAACAAGAACAGGGGCAGCAGCAACGGGAATAGGAGGGTGGTCGACGACGATGACGATTTGGACGTCGAGATGCTGAGCATCTCGAGCGGGGACGAGGATTCTGCTAAGGATCACGCGGGTTTGAGGGCCAGAGGTGGCGCGAGTGGTGGTTCGAGGCCCGGGAGGGACGACGACAGAGCGTGGGATGGTGAAGAACCTAATTGCTGGAGGCGCGTGGACGAAGACAAGGTGAGTTCGAGATGGTAAACCTAAGGAGAAAGGGAGAAGTTTCAGAGCACGACAAGAACGAGGGACGGAGGAGGGTCTTCCATGTCCGCTTCGGTTCCAGGGTATGTCCGAGTCAACGTGTCTCTCTCTCTTCGCAAAACCCTTGTTAGTTTTCATCACTGTTACGCACTTGCACAATCTGAACTTCATGCGCTGCGTTAAGGGGAGAAGAAGAAGAGAGATTGATTGTTGAAGCTCGTTCGAGGGAGAAAGAGAAATAGAAAGGATCGTCTTTGGGTGTGGAAATATTACCTTTTCTTGTTTTTTCGTTGACCCTTTTTCTTATCGTTGTCGTTGTGATCGATAGAGAGTAGCGAGAACAAGAAAGATGGTGTTGGTGTTGGCATTGGGGGATCTGCACATACCGCACAAGGCGCCTGATCTGCCCGCCAAGTTCAAGTCCATGCTCGTCCCTGGCAAGATCCAGCACATCATCTGCACCGGCAATTTATGCATCAAACTGGGTCCCTTTATCCTTCTCTTGTTGTTGTTGTTGATTGAATTCCCCGACCCATTTGCGATCGTGATCTTATTTGGATTTCTTTTAGCAATTTCGCATTGCTCGGTTGATGTTGTCTTTGTTTTCTTTTTCGTTTTTGGCTGCAGCTCCCATGAGGTGATGTAGCGATGGCATTTTTTGATTTATTGTTGTTTTTGTTTGATGTCATTTTAGTCTATGCCCTCTAGCATATTGTGGGGATTTTTTGTTTTGGTAGGGGGGTTACAAGCATTGTTCTGTTGGTGATTTTTCCTTTCCTTATTTTTGGCCTCACTTATGGGGCCTTACCTTGCGGCTCATGGATGTAGTTGAAAGTTTTGTTTGAATCGCCAGATTGGTGTATTCTTGGCACTCCGCGGTTCAGCCTTTTTTCTGAGAGAGGAGGCTTTTAGATTGCTGACCTTAAGTGCCTCATTGTGCAATTACCGGTTGTCTCGCAAATTTCTTTGATTTGTGGAAATTGACAATGTTCTTCGTCACTTTTGCTGTGCAATTGCTGTGTCAAGGTTTCTTGCTTGTGTTGCAAATGACAGTTCACTTACATGCGAGTTGCAAGTAGAGCTCTGTTGGGCATTCTATATGATAGGAATGTGTCTTATCTGTCATATCCTCCATTGTTTCCACTGAATTCTAATAAAATAACACTTTGGAAAGAACGGTCTTAGGTGCTGCCTGTAGTATGAAGGATTCTTGCGTTTATTTTCGTTTTGTTTAATTCAAAACGAAATTAAAAAAAGAACCTGTTGGAACTTGGAACCGACCCTAGAACCTATGACAGGGTAGGTTCCAGGTTCCAGGTTCCGACGAGTAGGTTCCAGGTTCCTCAAAATATGAGGAACCTGTATCTGAGGGTAGGTTCTAGGTTCCAGGCAAAACCTACCCGGAACCTGGAACCGCTCACCCCTAGTCACCGGCCATAGCCGGTAAAATATTTTTTTTATTAATAATATTTTTTTTGTTCATGGCCTGGTCGCCGGCCATGGTCGGTAAAATATTTTTTTATTAATAATATTTTTTATCAAAATATTTTAATCTAGAAAGATACGGCGAGGGCGGCCCTTGCTCCGAACATTAGAAACTACATTAAAAATAAAATAAAAAAGGAAAAGAAAAAAAATCCGATTCTGTTTCTTGTCCCAGAATCAAGAAGCTACTTTTTTTGCTCCTTGATTCTGCTCCAAAACTGATTTTGGGCACAATTTTGCAAGAATTTGTGCCTAGAATCAAAAAATTTAACAAGCGGGTTTCTGTTCCCAAACTGATTCTGGGAACAAAAGAACCGAAATTTTCACTGTTTGACACGTTATCAAACGGGCCCTAAAAGAGCCAAGGATTTGTATGGAGATATCAACATCATGGTGACAGGCCATTCTATGGGAGGGGCTATGGCATCCTTTTGCGGACTTGATCTTGTGGTAAGATAAATTATAAAATTGTTATGGCTGGGACTTGTGAATTTTATTTTCTTTTCTACACGTTCTTCCAACTGTTCAGTTTTGGTCCGTTAGGAGTTATCTGGAATTCTCTGTCAACTCTACCTTGAAGAGTCTAGACTCTTTTTATGGATCTTGAACTTTCTATGGCTCTCTCATTCATATATAGCATCTTGTTTTCTTACGTTTTTGGTAAATCAACCCATAAACAAAACACAAGCAGAATGGGGTGCAAACAGCCCTATATGGGAACCACCAATTATTGAAGTCTCTAGTTGTGGGAATTGAGTCGTATGTGTAAAGCTCTGGAGCTTCTAGTTGGTTGAATACTTAAATGTAGTGGGTAAAGACATCCTACGATTCATTGCAAAGTTTACTTGCTGGAAACTTTATGGGGTGCAAACTTTTTTAGGCACTCGAAGCTCAAATTTTATGTCTTGTAATCTTAAAGTGCTAGTGCATTTTAAATAGATTATATATCGATCTTAAATTTCTGTGCGTTGTTTCTGTCCGACTGGGCCAGATACGTCATAGGCTGGAGCCAAAAGATGTCTAAATTATGCTTTTTGTCTCGGCTTTATTAAATAGAGTGGTCCAGTTTACTTTTCTAGGTACCTGTTGCAGAACTGGTACCAGAAAATTTTCCCTCCCCAAAGTCATGTCCCATTGATTCTCTCTCCAGGACCAGTGGTGATTTTTTTTTAGTCAGACATTCATGTGTGGCCTATGATAAGATCATAGGTTGCATAAACTTTAGACTATACCTTTTCTTGAAGTATTAGTAGCAAGTAGGACATCTACAAATGATTTAAAGTCTTGCTTTGTTTTCTGGTTTCTTGCTGAAATTTGTACTTAGCCGATTGTGACATTATGCCCATGCGTTGTGGCCCCTTTTTTTTTTAATTTAGTTTCTCCTTTGCTATTTACGGCAGTAAGTTTTGGAGTTCAAGGGCACTTTCACCTTGAACCTGGTATTTTTTGTCTGTCCTTAGCAGGATGTGACTCACATCACCAACATCCAATGCTTGTTGTGGCAGCATTTAATTGCGCCTTGTTTGTAAATTCAACTCCTTTTCTTGGGGCTGAGCGTGGTGTTGGTTTTATTGTGCGTGAAGGTTTTGGTGTTGGGCAAATTGTGGATGGGATCTTGACAGAGTAACGCTAGACCTTCAACTCTCATGGAGACAAATGGCTGTTCTATTGTTCATTATTTTATTTGAAATGCGGTATATGGTTATTGATGCGGAGTTTTTTTTTTTTTTTCAGTCCTAAAAGGGCCATTGCTGTATTAACATCTAAGTTATTTGGCCGTCTAATTATGTGTGCTGAAGCTGTTTTTTCCAGACCAGCATTTGCTTGTTTGTACTTATAATACCGGGGACACTTCATTTCCAGGTCAATCATGAAGCACGGAATGTTCAGGTTTTAACATTTGGACAGCCTCGTATTGGCAGTGCAGCGTTTGCGTCTTACTACAGTGACCGTGTGCCAAAGACAATACGTACTATTCTCGGTTACCACAGAAGACTTACCATCACTTCCCTAGAGAGGTAAGGCTTTGATCTTGATGGAATAACATATAAATTTGCGATTTTTCAAAGAAGAAAAATGGTTTCTTCCATTTCTTATTTTTTATCATACTTACATAACACTTAAATAGGGCCTACAATAACTAGAAAATAGCAAGAAATAAAAAACAGATTTCCTACTTCTTAATTCTAGCGATTTACTTCCTAATCCTAAGGATTCAGGAATAAAAATAAATGGAAACAAAATATTCCTATCTCGGGATTTTCTCCGAGATCTTCGAGATTTTCTTCTAATTCTTCAACACCCCCTCTCAAGTTGGTGCGTAAATGTCTATCATGCCCAACTTGCTGATGAGAGACTCAAAGTTAGGTCTGAACAATCCCTTTGTAAGAATGTCAGCTATTTGTTGTGTTGTTGGCACAAATGGCATACAAATTGCTCCTGCATCAATCTTCTCTTTGATAAAGTGTCTGTCAATCTCAACATGCTTGGTTCTATCGTGTTGCACTGGATTATGTGCAATGTTAATTGCAGCCTTGTTGTCACAGTACAACTTCATGGGCATTTTCACTGATACTTTAAGTTCTTCTAGTACTCGTGTTAGCCACAACATCTCACAAACACCGTGGGCCATTGCTCGATATTCCGCTTCTGCACTGCTTCGTGCCACAACATTCTGCTTCTTACTTCGCCAAGTAACCAAGTTCCCCCATACGTATGTACAATATCCTGAAGTCGACCTTCTGTCAGTAATTGACCCTGCCCAGTCTGCATCCGTGTATGCTTCAATCTCCCGTTGAGTAGATTTTTTGAATAGCAGACCTTTTCCGGGTGTGCTCTTTAGGTATCTTAGGATCCTGTACACAGCCTCAAGATGTTTTTCATATGGAGAGTGCATAAATTGGCTTACCATACTCACAGCAAAGGCAATATCTGGCCGAGTATGTGACAAATAGATCAGTTTCCCTACTAGCTTCTGGTATCTCGATGTATCAACAGGAACCTCATCTTTGTCATCTCCAAGTTTCTGATTGGGATCTATAGGAGTTTCTGCCGGTCTACAACCACTCATTCCGGTTTCCTTTAGAAGATCTAGGACATATTTCCTTTGTGAGACTACAATTCCCTTTTTCGATCGAGCTACCTCCATTCCAAGGAAATACCTTAGAGTTCCCAAATCCTTGATCTCAAACTCAGAAGCGAGACATTCTTTCAACCTGTTCATCTCAACAATATCATTCCCAGTGAGAATGATGTCGTCCACATACACTATCAAAGTTGCAACCTTCCCGTCACAAGAATGCTTTACAAACATGGTATGATCAGCTTGTCCTTGAACATACCCTTGTTTCTTCACAAAATGAGTGAACTTCTCAAACCAGGCCCTCGGTGACTGTTTCAGTCCATATAATGACTTCTTCAATCTACATACCTTTGATCCAGAACTTCTATCAAAGCCCGGGGGAAAATCCATGTATACTTCTTCCTCCAAATCTCCATTCAAAAAAAGCATTCTTCACATCTAGTTGTTGCAGGGGCCAGTCAAGATTGGCTGCAAGTGACAGGAGCACTCTTACAGTGTTTAGTTTTGCAACTGGAGCAAAGGTTTCAAAGTAATCGATCCCATAGGTCTGGGTGTATCCTTTTGCGACCAACCGAGCTTTATACCTTTCGAGAGATCCATCGGATCTATGCTTGGTTGTAAATACCCACTTGCATCCAACTGTGGTCTTTCCCTCAGGTAGATCCACTATATCCCACGTTCCATTTTTTTCTAGAGCTTTCATCTTCTCAAGAATTGCTTCCTTCCACTCAGGAACCTGTAGAGCATCCTGCACAGTTTTCGGAATCTCCACACAAGACAATGTTGAGGTAAAGGCACGGAAATTGGGTGAGAGGTTTTTGTAAGACACATAATGAGACATAGGATGTTTGGTACAAGACCTAACTCCTTTTCGGATAGCAATAGGTATGTCAAGTTCATCAGGTCGGACAGATTGAGTTGGAACATTACCTGGTGACTCTATGGAGTTCTGGTCATGCCCCGGTTCGGACTCATGGCACCTTAAGGGAGCAGGAGACTCATTTCTTTGAGTTTTGTCTCTTCTCGTGTAGACTTGAGAATAGGATGGAAGCTCTGTATTCTCGGTACTAGTTTTGCACCTGTTATGTTCACAAGTAGGATGCGATGACAATATATGTGGACCCGAATTTTCATTATTTAAAACACTTGGTTCAAAATCTGGTATAAGGGTTGCGGGAATATGATTTTTAGGAAGAGTTTTTTCAGGTTCTAGACAAAAAGAATCTATGATGGAGTTGTGCGAATCTGCACTTTCTTTCCCCCTCTGAAGATGAGCTCCAAAAAAAGGTGTTGATTCAAAAAAAGTGACATCCATGGTGATAAACATTTTTTTGGAAATCGGGTCAAAGCATTTATACCCTTTCTGATTAGGTGCATAACCAACAAACACACATCGTTTTGCTCTAGGATCAAGTTTCCCCCGATTTCTATCATGGATGTGGACAAATGAGGTACAACCGAATAGTTTTAAGGGTAAGGCTGAAGCAAGTCTAGAAGTTGGGTAGGTCTCCTGAAGAACTCTTAGGGGTGTTTGAAATTCTAACACTTTGGAAGGCATCCTATTGATGAGATATGTAGATGTAAGAAGAGCTTCACCCCAGAGATATGTGGGAACTTTAGTTGTGAAGAGTAAAGCTCTAGTTACTTCTAAAAGGTGTTTATTCTTCCTCTCTGCCACCCCATTTTGTTGAGGGGTGTCAGGGCAAGAACTTTGATGCACAATCCCCTTTTCCAAGAAAAACTGTCCCAAATTTTTATTGAAATATTCTTTCCCATTGTCACTTCTAAAAATCTGGATTTGTCCTTGGAATTGTGTTTGTACCATGGTGTAAAAATTTTTTAAAACAGTCTCTACTTCGGATTTCTCTTTTAACAAGTATACCCAACTCACCCTTGTATGATCGTCAATAAATGTGACAAACCATTTCTTTCCTGAGAATGTAGGAATTCTAGATGGGCCCCAAACATCACTATGAATTAAGGAGAATGGTTTCGATGGCTTGTAGATTTGTGAGGGAAAATTGGTTCGATGATGTTTGGCTAATTCACAGAATTCACACTGAAATGAAGATGGACTTTTATTCAAAAATAACTTTGGGAACAAGAACTTTAAATATTGAAAATTCGGATGACCTAGCTTATAATGCCATAACATAATGTCATCATCCTTACTAAGAGTAATAGATTCAAAACAACTACCCTGGACTTGTCTACTTGAGTTTGTTCCATCTTCAAAGAAATAGAGTCCTCCACTCTCTCTAGCATTGCCAATCGTCCTCCCCGAGGTCAAGTCCTGAAACTCACAATGAGATGAGAAAAAGTTAGCTTGACACTTTTGATCGGAGGTTATTTTACTAATGGACAGCAAGTTACAAGATAGCTTTGGGACATGAAGAACTTTATGAAGTGTGAGGGCTGGTGAGAACTTGATAGATCCTGTTCCAGCTATGGCTGAAAGAGAACCATCTGCAATTGTGATTTTTTTATTTCCTGCACACGGACTATAGGTGGAAAAGAGTTTTGAACAACCTGTCATATGATCGGTTGCTCCTGAATCGAGAATCCATGGAGCAATTTGGTGTGGATTTTCTATGAGGAAAGCAGTGGAAAAATAATTACCTTTCTGGGCTAAAGAACAAGATGGATTTGAAGAAGGTTGTGGAGATTGAAGGATTTTGTATAGGTGCTCTAACTCTTCCTTTGTGAATGGAACCAAATCAGACTTGATTTGCTCTTCATTTGTTGCTTGGAACGCACGACCATCATTACTGCTCCTTCTCTTCCAACCTTCTTTCTTCCAATTCTGTGGTTTCCCGTGAATTTTCCAGCAAGTCTCTTTGGTATGCCATGGTTTCTTGCAATGTTCACACCATGGTTTCTTCCTCCTGTCTTCCTCAGAATCAGGCCCCCGAGATACAAGAGCAGAATTTTCGGATATAGAGCTGACACTTGTTTCCGAATCATGTAGCATGATTCGCCTCCGAGATTCCTCCCTTCTAACTTCAGAGAAAAACTCGCGGATGGATGGTAGAGGTTTTCGACCAAGGATCCTACCTCTCACCTCATCCAGGCTTCGATTAAGGCCTGCGAGAAACATGTATACTCTATCATTCTCTTCTCTCTTCATTTGTCTCTGACAATCAGCTGGACTTTCCCATGTATCATCATAGCATTGATCTAATTCCTGCCACAAGGTCACCATTTCATTGTAGTAAATAGTGACCTCACGATCCCCTTGCTTCAATTGCCATAGCTTTGTCTTGAGTTCAAAGATCTGGGAAGAATTTTCCAAATCAGAATATGTTTCTCTCACAACGTCCCACACATCTTTAGCGGTCGGAAGGAATAGGTGAGGTTTTCCAATTGTTGGCTCCATAGAATTGATCAACCAGGCAATCACTAAGGAGTTCTCAGATCTCCAAATCTTCCAAGACGGATTGCTTTTTTCTGGTTCCTTCACCTCGCCTGTTAAGTGGCCGAGCTTCCCTCTGCCATCAATTGCTAGTTTCACCGATTGAGCCCACTCCAAATAATTTTGGCCATTCAATCGGTGAACTGTCAATAGCAGGTTGGAGTTCTGGGAGAATTGCTCTCCACCATTGCTCGATTGTGCAGAGAGATCAGCTGGGTTGTTCTCTAGCATGACACCTAAAGGAGTGGTGTTCCTACTAGCTCCGGTCATCGCCGTTTTCACCATAGTAAGAGCCGGATTTAAAACCAAGCTCTGATACCATGCGATTTTTCAAAGAAGAAAAATGGTTTCTTCCATTTCTTATTTTTTATCATACTTACATAACACTTAAATAGGGCCTACAATAACTAGAAAATAGCAAGAAATAAAAAACAGATTTCCTACTTCTTAATTCTAGCGATTTACTTCCTAATCCTAAGGATTCAGGAATAAAAATAAATGGAAACAAAATATTCCTATCTCGGGATTTTCTCCGAGATCTTCGAGATTTTCTTCTAATTCTTCAACAAAATTATATAGGAATTGTCGCTGACTGAATTTGATGTTTGCTTTGCATTTCTTTCAACCTATTTAACTGGTGAAGCTCATTTATTCCAACAATATATGTCTCTTTTTTTGCAGCGTATAAAATATAACTGTCTTGTTCTTTATTCTTCTTAGCAAAGCAGGGCAGTTCTAGTACTCATTTTTTCAGAAATATTTGAGTAACTCTAATGTCTGCAAGAGCCATCATGGATTTTTTCATACTGATTCCAAAGTTAGGGGCGTAAAAATGTTTCTAAAAAAGAAAAGAAAAACCAACCCCCCAATGGGGGATGACTGATATTAGTTTTAACCTAGTCTTAATCTCTGTGCAATTATGCACATTTTAATTATAGTATGTCTATTAATGCTTATAATCATTGGCGACTAGCTCAAAGATGGACATGGATAAACATATTGATGTGAGATAATGTGAAGATGATTTGATTGCACCTGCTTATCTTATCTGGTGACTAATCATAGTATTTTTTTGTCAGTGTTCACGTGTAATTGGAATGTTCCCTTTGTTGTAGGTATGGCTGTATAATATAGGATTTGGTAGTCTGGTTTATCAGGTTGAGAAAGTTTGTGATACCTCTGGAGAAGATCCATCATGCAGCAGGTAATGAGGTAGTTCGGTTGTAGCTACTTGTTCAAGCAATTAGTTTTGGATTTGTCACGCTAGAAGCAATAAGTCGTGACAGACCAGCTTGTTGTAGAGAATGTCAGTCCTTTGTTACCTATATATGTGGACAACTGATGAGAGTGCATCTTTGCAGATTGTTAACTGGTAACAGCATTGCAGACCATTTAGTCTACTATGGTGTGGGATTAATGGCTGAGACATGGGGATCGTGCAAAATCGTCAGGGACGCACGATTGAAAGAATAAGGAGGTGAAGATGTCAAAGGAAATCTTATGCTTTCCAGGAATCCTTCTGCTTCTGCATTGAGGCTGCCTTCAGACTCTGATGCCAAAAGCAACTTCAGTTAAAATGCTCCTGGGTCAGCACCTTGTTTCTCAAAGATCATTGGGGACCTCTATGATGAGATGACATGCATTCCATCGATTTGTTGTCCATATCCATCACAAGATGCATAAGAGCTCTTCTCAAATTCACTCTGAATGTAAATAGCAGGAAGTTGAATGTGTCATCCTTGTAAATACAACTTTTTATTGAATGAATGCGTTCGCAAGTTTACTTGTCAATCTAATCTTGGGCCTGTGGCTTTGTTTGCCATACTTGATAAAACCGAATAAGGATGTGTGGATGGTGAGCTGAGCTATTCAGAGTTGAATCACACATCTATTTTCCTTTATTTTTTCCTTTTTGGGGGGTTGAATTTGCATTAGACTTCGCAAACTTGGCAGATGTGTGAACTTTGGAACTGTGAGACTTGTACGGCAAGGCAATTAACCGGTTTTATAAGGTGAAACAAAGAGTGCCTTGGGAGACCACTACTCAGTCTGCGACCTTACCTTCTACTATAGGCACATTGCAAAAGACTTCCCGGCAGAAGCACTTCAACTGTGTCCTAACAGGGAATTATGCTGATTAACTGTTAAATCGAGCCATCTTGGAAACAATGATGACCTTGTCTGGGATCATTTCCACTGGCAACCTTTGCTAAATCTTTACTTTCAAAAGGTAAAGAATTTATATCGTCTTGGCTTTGAAATGTAACACTGATAAGCCTTTGGAACGAGTTGTAAGCTTTTACCTTCTTTTTTCTGACATGCAGGAATCAACATTAGTGGAAAAAAAACTAAATTTCCTTCATCATTTCAAATGATAATATTGCTAATTGTGACCATTCAAAGCACACTCTGCAAGAGACTAAGTAAGTCTTGGCACCATATGATAAACTAGAGTTTGTACGTTACAATAAAAGCCAGAGTACGGCACCAAAGCATTGGGAAAGACATATTGTTGTCTCATTTGTATCCTCCTTTACTTGGTGAGCTAGTTGTCAATTCTATGTATTAACTGAGTTAGCCTCAGCTTAATTGCACAGAAAGATCCCGTAAATTTCTTTACTTGTTACCAAGAGTAAAAGCTCAGGCTCTCATATAGGACTTTTGTCGGGGAGCAGTTCTCCTTATCAATGTTGAAACCTAAAGCTCCATTCCTGAGATAACCATAAGGTAAATGATAGAGCTTCTGCACGTATTAAAGCTTACCCAAATGAATATATCCTTCATTGTTCAAGGTGTAACAAAGTTTAAGTTTACATGGCATAGATATCAGCTTCAAATTTAGTGTACAACCCAGAAAGTTTTGAGGATCTCACATAAAAGCCAACGTGTAAATTGACAAAATTAATGCAGCTGAACGTTATAGAACTGGCATCAATTAACTCATGACATAGACTGAAAGAAACCATGGTCCCATACGAGCAGTTTACAGTCATCCTTCTTAAAGGTAGAAAGTGGTTGCGAAAACGGCCTGTAATTAACTACACAAGGGTAAAAGAACATCATATTTCACGTTAACTTGCCATATTTTGATTCTAATTTATTATAGAAAACACAATTCCTTGAAAGACAATAACGAACATCTGCTGATGTGACATACAGAAATAAGCAATTTGTTTTGAGTTTCAAAGCTTCCTTGAACATAGATTTGGCTGTAAATGCAGGACCTTTCAAGAATCACGTGCACTTCGTATTGGAAAATGTACTCCTAAGCAATGTCTTCTAAATTTTCGAGGAATGGCCGAATCTCCTAAGCAATGCCAGGCGTTGCATAATTTGGACCTCTTCAAGTTGAAATGGTCAGAGGCCTCCCAGATGTTATCCCTCTCTGCAAAGTATTTCAATCATATCAACTTACGTCAAGGATGACAAGGCCTTCAATCAACAATTATTCCAGAGATTCTAGTAGTTTGCGATGAGCAAATGCATACTAACATAACAATATAGTGGAACTGACTCTAACTTCTTCAAACGAGTCATTTCAGGAAAACTCTCCCATAGTTCAAGATCAAAGAGCTCCATAATTTTTAGATTCTCCCAGACAGACAGGGCCTTGAATCTCCATTATTGCAGGCTTATAAATTCTCAGTTCTGACTAGATCCGTCATTGGTCTCACCGTCCAGCAAGATTCAACACGTAAATAAGATAAAATTGAGGAATGCCTTAGCACCGGAGTTCAAATCTTTTGAGTTGAGAAAGCTGACTAATATCTATTGATGAAGTGGTTACAACGGCAGACAATAAGGTCAAAGGCTCCCGTTCATTTAATCTCACAACCCACCATGGCATCGGATCTTCCACAAGTTGACACTTTATCCATTGGGTAAGCATCTGGTCGAATGGCCAAATACAAATCATTTGGAATTTCCAGTTGCAAGTTTTCACCCTGTTCTGCACCCATTTCTTTTAGCTTTTACTGCATCAACAAGGCACATTGGATTGGGTAGCTCTTTAATGAGCGTGTAGGAGATATTAGGAAGCCTCTCTATACATTCTTACAAAGGCAAGTATTCAAGGCTAGTAAGAGCTCCCATCGACAAGGGAGGTTGTGTAATTATGGTACTTCGGAGAGAGAGCCTCGATACAAATGTCAAGTAACCAATGGAAGTGATTATCTTCAGTGATCAACAATGCAAAGCGCTGAGAATTTCGAGATCCTTCAGAGCTTGATATTCACCACTGAATAGTTCAGTAACTTCTGACTATTTTTTTCTGTCACCCATGAGTGCATTCAATTAATTCTCCTGATCAAATCATAAAAAAGGACCAGAACTCTTTTACCAGATGGCCTATCTTGAACTGTCTTGATCCCATTGTTTACATTGCTTATTTCTGTCGATTTACTTTTGAGGACATTGAAGATGAGTTGATTCCACGAGTACTCAATGCCCTTGAGTTGTCAAGTTTTATGGATGTTAGCAGGAAAGTAATAGTGCTCAAAACCATGTGAAAGCTGATCGTCGATCATCCTGGCGAGTGTCAATTCTCCAATGCTGCCTGTTCCATGAATTCCAACAATTTGTGTTTAATGTGTTGTGAGTGCCTATCATACTCATGAGTAAGACTACCTTGAGCACCATCTTCACATCAAAAGGTCCATGAACTGGTTTTGGCAGGTGCAAGTAAGACTACCTTGAACATCATTATAAGCACACAATTTTTCTCACTGTCCAGACAAGCCCTTCAAGTATATCCTCGTAAAAGAACATTTGAGTACTGATAAGCATGTTCTATCGCATATCAATAAAGAGAACACACTTTTAGACAAAATTGCAAAATGAATTCCTCTGCCCTGCTCTATTGATTTCGCTGAAAAAAGGGCGAACAATTCAACTGAAACTTCATATCGAGTTCGTTGGATTGAACGATTTCATCACCACGCAGCGACTTCCCTCACTAATCTTCAAGTTTTTGTTTCTCAACAGATGAATGCACAGTTTTCCACCCCAAGAGTGTGAAAGGGAACTTAGTTGACATTAAAGTAATGACTTCCCTCACTTGTATTTACGTTTCCATCTTCAACAGATGAATGCACAGTTTATCACCCCAAGATTGTGAAAGGGAATTTAGTCAACATTAAATGCCATCTTCCTCTTCCTTTGTTTGGTCTTCATTTGTACAGCTACCCAATTAGCCACAACACCCTGCACCAAAAAATTTCTGTAAGTTTTCAAATTCTAGTTCCTCTTAGCAGCATCGAAAACGACAAAAGCCAGTCATTTGAGATGTCTCCCTTAGCACTTCCTGTCAATCTTAACACCTAAAGGAGTCCTCTAGTAGCTTGAGGTGAATGGAAGGGCTTCTATTACATATAATCACCCGGGCATAGCCATTTCTAGAAGATGTAGGCGATAATGGAAATCACACAAGAATCTATTTGCATGATTTCTGACCCTAGTGAGACTTATCATATGCCCTATGCACCAGTAATACTAAATTTTAGCCTTTGAATATAAGATGAATTATGATACCTCGGAGAAACTAAGTACCTCCTCTCTCCTGTCACAGAAGAAAGTTTTGCTGTGCAAACTATTGCTGCAGCTACCCAAGTGAAATTCGTCTTTCATCATTTTATAACTTTCTCCCCAACATATGCAAATCCCAGTAAGAAGAGCACCTTTCCTGGAAACTGAACTGAACATAAGCATATCAATATAGAGCGTGTCTTCTTCACAGTTGCAATGATGAGTTGATTATGCTGAAAAGTTCCAGGATGAGAACCATAGTAATATGACCTTCAAACACACATTCCATCAAATTGTTTACAGCATAACGAAGTTTTCCCCAATCCGAAGCGAGGTTATCAACTTCGAAATATGTGAAGCAGCAAATGGACAAGGATCTCTAATAATTTGTTACGTATCAAATAAAAAACGATGCAGTTGACATGCATACCTCCAGCTGGGAAACATAAAAAAAGCAAGGAGAAACAATCCGATGAAAATATAGCTAAAAAAGCCAAACTGAACTAGGAAAAGAGACGAAACATTTGTAAAGATAAGCATATCAATACAGAGTGTCAGTCTTCTTCACAGATGAGTTGATTATGCTGTAAAGTTCCAGGATGAGAACCGTAGTTATATGACCTTCCAACACACATTACATTGTATTGTTCACAGCATAACGAAGTAAAGTGAGGTTATCAACTTGGGAATATGTGAAATTGTAAATCGACGAGGATGTCTAATAATTTGTCACATATCAAATAAAAACGATGCAATTGACATGCATACCCCCGGCTGGGAAACATAAAAGCGAGGAGAAACCATCCAAAGATAATATAGCTAAAAAAGCCAAACCAAACTAGTTAAGAGAACAAGTATTTGTACATAATTAAGAACCCTCTGGTTGTATGGAGGTATCAATTTCAATACCTTCATCAGATTTTCAATCATCAACTCGTGAAAAGGTAATTAAAAAGTGCATGTGAAACTTCTCTGTTCATATCTGTGCAAGAATTTGATTACAGAAAAGGGAAAAATATTGGTTGTTAGATGAAATAAATTACCTGATTTTGTTTAAAGTTTGAACACAAGGAAACAATTTGTGGTGGTGGATCAAGAAGCTTTCAATGGCGCCTTTCCCACCAGTTCATCTTCCGCCACTCAGATTCAAATCCAGATTCATCATCTCCTCCCACAACTTCAACTGACTTGTCCGAGCAAAGCGAAGAAATTGCCTTCACATCTAATTTCCCGCAATGACATATTGCAACCTTTCGCAGTCTCATCAAGCTCGACAAGTCAGGCAACTTTTGTAACGATCCACACGAAGAAATCAACAACAACTCCAAAGACTCTGGTAGTTCACCTTGAATTTCAACCAGATTTTCACAGTTTCTTACTCCAAGATATCTTAATTTGTTAAAATTTCTTAGATCAGGTAGTGTCTCTACCTGTCCAAGGCCCCAAATCTGCAAATGTCCTAGGTTCTCCCATAAATTCGCCTGACTTCTCTGAGCAGAGCTAAGAATTGCCTCCCCCTTTAATTCCTTGCAATCTTCTGAGTAAACCTGATGCGGTTCCTTCACGCTTAACAGATCAGGCAACTTCTCTAAAGAGTTACACGACGTAATCCGCAATTCTTGCAAAGATTGTGGTAGTTCCCCTTGAATCTCAACCAGATTATCACACTTTTCCAGTGCAAGATGGCTTAATTTGTTCGAATTACTTAGATCAGGTAATATTTCCACCTGTCCAAGGCCAGAAAGCCGCAAACGTTGCAGGTTCATTCGAGCAAAACTAAGAATTGCCTCCCGATTTAATTTTTCGCAACCTTCTATGTCAACATATTCCAATTCCTTCATGCTTGACAGATCAGGCAACTTCTCTAAAGAGTTACACGACAAAATCCGCAATTTTCGCAAAGATTGTGGTAGGTCGCCTTGAATCTCAGCCAGATTATCACACTTTTCTAATATAAGAAGCCATAGTTTGTTCGAATTACTTAGATCAGGTAATATTTCCACCTGTCCAAGGCCAGAAAGCCGCAAATGTTGCAGGTTCATCCGAGTAAAACTAAGAATTGCCTCCCGATTTAATTTTTCGCAACCTTCTATGTCAACATATTCCAATTCCTTCATGCTTGACAGATCAGGCAACTTCTCTAAAGAGTTACACGACAAAATCCGCAATTCTCGCAAAGATTGTGGTAGGTCGCCTTGAATCTCAGCCAGATTATCACACTCTTTTAATATAAGACGCCGTAGTTTGTTCGAATTACTTAGATCAGGTAATATTTCCACCTGCCCAAGACCAAAAAGCAGCAAACATTGCACGTTCATCCGAGCAAAACTAAGAATTGCCTCACCATTTAATTTTTTGCAATCATTTATGTGAACACATTCCAATTCCTTCAAGCTCGACAGATCAGGCAACTTCTGTAAAGATTTACATAACGAAATCCACAGTATTTCCAAACTTTGTGGCAGTTCGCCTTGGACCTCGACCAGATTAGCACAATTTGTTATACTAAGATGTGTTAGTTCGTTCCAATTACTCATATCAGGTAGGAACTGCAGATTTTCAAAGCCATTAAGGGACACTTCTCGTGGATTCTTCCGAGCAAATGCAAGAACTGCCTCCACATTCAATTTATAGCAATTTTGCAAACTAAAACCTTTCTTACCCGTCAAGCGTGACAGATCGGGCAACCTCTGTAACGAACGACAGCCTAGAATATGGAAAAAACCTAAAGACCGTGGTAGTTCTTCGCCTTGAATCTCCACCAGATTACCACAATGCTCTATTGAGACACCCCGTAGATTGTTTAACTTGCTCAAATCGGGTAGCATCTCCAGCTGACCGAGTTCATAAAGGTGCACCTCTACTAGGTTCTCCAAACAACTGAGGCCTTTAATCTCTGTAATTGCACCGTGAGAAATATAGAGATATGATAGTTTCTTCAAACTCGATAGATCCCTCATCAAGCAAAGTGGCCTGCGATTGTCCAGATACAAGGAGGAGAAAGTCGAAGGAGGCGTCGGGATGTGATGCAGATTTAAGCCCTGGAGGCGAAGTGAGTGGAGTTGAGGAGGGAGACGAAGGTCTATTGGGGAGGGGGGTTCTGCTGGGGAGGCGGTCCCATGATGAGAGCCAAACCCCAGATACAATTTCTTTAAATTGGTCAGGTGCGAGACATCCGGAAACGTGTCCTTCTGCAACTTAGACAGCCCTAATTCGATAAGACTTTCAGGAAGCCTTGATATTGAGCATATTTTCGCTGACGTCAACCCCAAGATCCTCAAGCGGTTGCAATTGCCGATGTTCACATGGACTTCACAAGAGCTTGTACATGCGGCAACTACTTCTTCGAGCGTGTCCATCGTCCAGAGGACATCGGGTATTTTGCTCATCGTACCCATATCCACTTTTTTCAAATTTCCCAACTTTCCAATTGAATTAGGTAATTCTTTGATCGCCCTGCTAGATATATCCAACTTGACCAGTGATGTCAAACCTTCGAATGAATCCGGAAGCCTCTCCAACCTATCGCACGATGCTAGAGATAAGTATTCAAGGCTTTCAAGATGTCTACCCAGCTCGTCTGGAAGCCTTTGAAGATTCGGACAATGCCCTAGGTCTAAGGAAACTAGGCGATTCAACCGACAAATCGACCCATCGATTTCAACTAATCTTCCACAGTAACATAGGCTCAAACGTTCTAAATTCGCAAGAGCAGAGAAATTGGGGGTTCTCTCCAAATTATCGCAACCTGTCAGATTTAGAATTTTCAAATTCGTCATCACCTGTAAAAGAAATATCATGCAAAGATTACTTTCAAATTTGATAAAAAGAAATAACAAGCGTTGTCTAGCATATAACATACCTCCATGTAGCTCCACCCCTTCCAATCATGCGTAATTTCGCTATAGGATAGATCAAGAATGACCACATCCTCCATAGAGAAATGTGTAATATTAAAATTTGTGGGAATGTTATGCCAGGAGAGCCATCGTAATTTTGTAAGGAGAGATGAATTCTCCAGAAAATCATGAGTTTGAAGAACATTTGATGACAATTCGAGCCAAAGAAGCGTCTCGTCTGCAAGGAACATTTGATTTGATTGTCCTGTAGAGCCTTCATAGGTCAAATGGTCCTGCCCCCCACCGTCAAACCGGTTACGCAGCCCTGAAGGATCAATCTTAAGAGCTTCTTTTGCACGAAAATTGTTCTTGGAACCTTTCACTTCAAGAAACCTCAGATTTGATAGGTTCTCAAAGCCCTCATAGGTAATAGGATACCGCGGCTGATGCTGTAAGTTGAGACGCAGAACTTCCGCTTCTTTTGGTCCCTGCCCGAAGGAAAAGTTTAAAAACAAGAAAGTGGGAATCGCATTTACTCAAGTCCACTATTGGAAGAGGTTGAGTGATGTACTATTATTCCTCTAATCTTAAAAGAGCAAAAATATAGGTTGAGGAAGTCATGGACTCATAATGGTGCCAGACAACACAAAAAGTAACTTTTGACAACAAAAAAAAATGCATAAATACTGGGAATATATATTGAGGGGGATTTTACCTTATATTTAGTCAGCAAATCCAATCCTTCCTTAGGATCCCACACCCTAGTTTGCTTCTCTATTTTCTCTTCACTTTTGTCTAAAACCATTTTTCTTCCAAGGTTTCTGAGCTGATCATGCATCCACACTTCGTTATCCTCATTAATCTTTATCAAACACATGTTCCGCAAAACTTTCAAGTTTACTTCCGGTGGATATTCATGTTCATTCCAGAAATGAACTAGAATATCTGTGTCATATCCACTGAAAAAACAAGCTATATCGAGGAATATATCCTTTTGTTTTGGACTTAATCGATCATAACTTATTTTCAACTTACCCATAAGCTCATCATTGGGAACACTTTCTAGCATCTTCAACGTGCCATCCCACTCTTTCTTATCAATTCCAAATAAAAGTCCACCAATGACCTCAAGAGCGAGCGGAAGACCTCCAGCAATTTTTGTCGCCCTTTTTGAAAACTTGATATCCTTGTTTAAAGGAGAATCTCTTCTAAAGGCATGTTTGCTAAAAAGTTGAAGAGATTGATCCCCATCCATGCATGGAAGCTCATACCTCCAGTCCACTTTCGAAAAATTGAGAACACCTTCCATTCTGGTAGTAATAATAATTTTGCTCCCTCTGCCTAACCAATCACGGTCACTTGCAAGTGCAAGTGCATTAATATGATCCATTTGCTCCACATCATCGAGGAGGAGGAGGACTCTTTCCTGAAACAACTTCTGTTTAATCATTTGAGTTCCTTTTTTGTCGTCTCTTATATCGTATTCCGTTTTGACGATGTCAGAGATGAGCTGCTTCTGCAAGCATGGAATGCCATTATTTTTTGATGTTTCTTGAATATTGCCAAGAAAGCAACACTTCTCAAAGTCACACAATAACTTATTGAAGATGATTTTGGCAAGAGTCGTCTTTCCGATGCCACTCATCCCGTAAATTCCTATAATCCTCGTTTCACTTGTCCCAACATCTATATTTTTCATGATTTCATCCACAAGGTTGTCGACAGGGACGAAGTAGTCTGATACTTCCAGAGAAGCCTTTTCCAACTCCTTGCAAATCTCCCGCGTGAATTTTTTCACGAACTCACCTTCTCGCCTAGTGGGAAAGTACAATGAGTTAGAAAACTGAGTTGAAACAAACTATGTTCTGACAAGACCACATTGCAAACTACAGACCTATTCTATACGTGTTCTTCAACGATTTATTCCAATTAGAGGAAGTAGCGGTGGAACGTAGGTTTAATGAATGACCTGAACTAACGAAAAAATGTTGCTGGGAATGAAATGAAAAAAAATTGGGATTGTGCCATCATCTAGTGTGATTTTGCGGTATAACTTCAATTGCATACAATTCGATTTCCACAAGACTAACGCAAATCTAGAAAAGAAACCAATTCAAATGCATCGAGTTTAATGATACAAGGCACAAGAGACGGAATGCTAAAAGCAGTCACCTGTTGACCACGTTTTGTAGGCTGTGTCCGTTTATATCCGCCACTGCTTTGAGAGCATCCCTCCACTCTCCGATGGTCTTTGGGTCAAATCGCTGCTTTTTTTCGTGTTCAAGAAAGGCCTCTTCATAATCCCCTCTTTGGTGCCTAACGTCTGCAGGCTCCACATGATAAAAAATAGGGATGATCTTTTGTCCCCGATTCTTCATGCCCTCAACCATCTTGGCTACCTCCTTGAGACACCATGGACTAGAGGCATAATTTTTGGAGAAGATAGGTATTAAAATCTTCGACTGCTCAATTGCTTGGAGAAGATTTAAGGCAAACTCTTCCCCTTTGCGGAGACATTCATCGTCCTTAAATGTGTGGACTTTTGCTTGCAAAAGTTCATGGTAAAGGTGGTCGGTAAAATTGTCTCGAGTATCTAGTCCTCTGAAGCTCAAGAATACTTCATGGTCAATTTTTGACGGAGTATCCATTTCAGGTACTCCAGTTGAAGTGTGACTATCGGGATCGCCACTTGCAATTCCATCGTTTGCAGCTGCATCCCTATTTGCTCCTGATGAAGAAGCCATTTCACGTACTCCTGATGAAGTGTGAGTACCAGAATCCCCTCCTGCTGTTCCATGGCTTGCAGCTGCATCCATAGCTGGTCCTGATGAAGTAGCCATTTCTGGTACTCCTGTTGAAGTGCGAGTACCAGGATCGCCTCTTGTTGTTCCATCGTTTGTAGCTGCATCCTTATTTGCTCCTGATGGAGTAGCCACTTCAGGTACTCCGGTTGAAGTGTGAGCAGAAGAAGCGCATCCTGCTGTTCCATCGTTTGCAGCTGCATCCTTAGCTGGTCCTGATGAAGTAGCCATTTCAGGAACTACTGTTGAAGGGCGAGTTCCAGAATGGCCTCTTGCTGTTCCATCGTTTGCAGCCGCATCCATATTTGCTTCTGATGAAGAAGCCATTTCACGTACTTCCGATGAAGTGTGAGTACCAGAATTGCCTCCTGCAGTTCCATGGCTTGCAGCTGCATCCATAGCTGGTCCTGATGAAGTATCCATTTCAGGTACTCCTGTTGAAGTGCGAGTACCAGAATCGCCTCCTGTTGTTCCGTTGTTTGCAGCTGCATCCTTATTTGCTCCTGATGGAGTAGGCACTTCAGGTAATCCTGTTGAAGTGTGAGTAGAAGAAGCGCCTCCTGCTGTTCCATCGTTTGCAGCTGCGCTGTCATTTGCCTCCCGTCCATTGATCTCCCTTGATCTTCTTCTCTTCAAGAAAAAATGGAATAGCACAGCAGCAAGAGCAGTGGTAGCAAGAGATGGAACAAGTTTGGGAGCCATGATTACAAGTGTATGAGCACGAGAATTACAAATGGAGATGATCTCTGTGGGTTATTAAACGTACAAGACAGGATTTGGCTAAATTTGCAGAGAGTGGAGGGCCAGTTTGCTAGAATTGGTCAACAAGATTGATCTAGTATAGCCTGTCAAAGTTGAAAAAGGCAGTGTTTTTAACACCAACAGTGGCCCCTCCCCACTCAAATTCTTCTGTTTTATCTCCACCAGTAATAACCCAATCGGCAAAAAAAGATAAATACAATTGCGGGGTAAATAAACTAGTGGAATTCAGAAAAGATGGGAGCAATTGACTACTTTCGGGTAAAAAAAAATCATCAGTTAAATTTTCTGACAACACCACGTCGCTATGAATGTCCACGCGCTTGCCCGCAACGCGCCTTTTGCTTGTACATAATTGTAATGTCACTTTCGGGGTTGGGGTGTCGAGTCGGGGCCATTTTGGGGAAAATAGCCCCTTGTCTGGTCATATGAGTTGTTGTTCATCAATTCGATGTCTATTTTGCTGCTGCCGAATTACTCCAATGCCTCCATAGTAGGAAGATCTTTTTGTTTTAATTAATGTCAAGTTGGTCGAGCGTGTAATTTATAATTTATGACATAAATTTTGATTGATGACACGTGATGTAATCGTAATTTATTATAAAAAATAAGGCTAGTAGCGGTTTGCTTTATTCTTCCTTTGCCTTTTTTCGAGAAACTGTTTTGCCTCATCAAAATATTAGAATAGGTCTATATCTACATCATCAGGAACTTCTTAAAAGATGGCCAGCAACCGTTGCCGGTGTTTTCGTGATAGTAATTTACTCAAGGCATAGTTAAAAATTTCAAAGGAGTTGGTACTTCATTGGAACGTGGGTAAATACTTTATAGCATTCAAATTATTAGAATGCTGGTAAATTACTGATAGTGGTAATAATCAACTTATTACATTGGCACAATTCGAGAGGAGTTGCTAATTTACTATTTCATTAAATGTTGCTAAATTTTGAACAAAAATGGTGATAGTGCCTCTTCGCTTATTAATCATTTCTATTTTTGGGAAGTATCACGGTCAATCCAATAACGGCGATTTTTATTCCTGATAATGGTGGTAAATTATTTAGTGAATTGCTATTTCATTGGACTTTGATAAGTTCTTAATATTGCCAGTAATTTACTTATGGTAATGATAAAATTTCACGGGGTTGGTAATCTACTACTTCATCGGAATGTAGACAAAATTCTAAAAGTTTCAGTAATTCATCGGGGGTTTGCCAAAATTGAATGATTGCCTGTGACTTTGAAATTATGTCAACATGGGAATTTTTCCCACTTTTTTAGTGTGTAGAATTTGGCCCTACTCAGAGCATGGGTTTCACAGCTTCAAATTTTATACAAGAAACAATTTACAAGGATCTTGAATAAATCACCACTTAGTAAAATTGGAAATTGCAAACCTATGTGAAATGAGTTTCCTACTCACTAAATAATCCAATTCAGTTATGAGATGAATTAGCCTTTGTATGGAGTGTTAATAAAATTAAGATCAAACTGTGCTGAGTCTTACTTCAATAGAAAAAACCAAAGGCACTCTCTATAGATAATTAAACTTAGAAGGCAGAATTGGCTAAGCATGTGGAGAATCGTGGGCCAGTTTGCTACGATTCATTGCAACATCACTCCAGCCTATGAAAGTTAACAAGTGCACTTTCTTTAGCACCTAAAGCATAAAATAAGAATTGTCACTAAAATAATAAGGTTGGATTCTGCCAAATTATTAAACGCTTAATGCATAACAGAAAATTCATCAGAGATTCCAAGATGCTTCCTTAAATGATGGAGAGCGAGTGCTTACAAAATAAACGTGCGCATCTTCTTCTTCTTCTTCTTTTTTAACAAGATTGAAAAGAGTATCCACATATTGCTAGCTATTAAGATAAAAAGTGTCGTCAAGTAAAATCTGTTATGTGAAACGGTGAAAGTATATTATTTTACAAGTGCTCACGATGTCAACGCGCACATCACAGGCTTGATGACTAGAAGCATAAAAACATTTCTTGGAGACCTGAACCGCCATTACCGGCGAAACTCTTGCTTTTAGCGTGCTTCTGTGTTGTCGGCAAGACTTTAGTCAAAGGAAGCCCCGCAAGGGAAAAAGAAAACAGGAGGATGCATTTCGGTGCCAAGAAAACATTCATGATTGCTCCTTTCGGATTAGCCCCTTCTTTTTCCAAACTCTTTTCATAGTTGAATTCTTTAAAAATCCTCATTGAGATTTTAACATAACTGTTACTATTTTCACTTTTATTTTGGGTTACAATCACCCTAGAAAAAAAAAAGGCCTAATACCGATAAACCTCACATTTTATTTAATATCTCGATTTTACCTTTTATCTCGTAAAAATCCTCTAACTTTAAGTCTAGCCCTAATTTCATCATGAACTTCTTTTTATCTCATAACAAAAATAAAGATCGCAAAAATTTACTGAATGTTTAGCATAGCTAGCTAGTATTAGTTGTCCCATAAAAATAAAAACAAAAACAAAAACTAATGATCGCAAAAAATTTCGTTAGATATGGAGGAGCAAAAATGTTCCCCTTATGAAAATCATAAATCCGTAGATCTTTCAAGACGATCCGAGTCTGACGAGAAAATTTTTGCGATTAAAGTTATTAATCAGGATGACTTGATGAAAAGACCTTCGTCAAGGATCAAATTCTTTGGGTTGAGACAAATAAAGGATCAAATTTATCTTCCAATTACTTTAGCTTTGATCGTACTCCACTTAACTTTTGTTTTAGTAATTGAAAGTCTGAAAACCTCATTGCAGATTTTTGAAATCATACGTCTTCCATTTGAATTGAAATTGAGCTTCCTTCATTAGCTAATGGCTAGTTAGTAGCACGATCTAGTTCACAACTTCCACATACATCTTCAATTATGTTGGCGCATATAGTGGCCAAAACAAAAACAATGCTTTCCGTCTTTGCCCGTTAGACAAATAGATAACGTTTAGGACGTCAATAGAACTTCTTTCAACCATAGAAGTTTTAGAATTCTAATTCCACAACATTTGCCAATGCTTCTTCCCTGTCTGTATAATACCGATAATCACCTAATTAGTCTTTTAGATTACTATCATTCTAAAAACTACTTTTATTCCAAATATATTGTGTTTATCTCTACATTTTGAATTCAATAATTTTAAGTTTTACTTGTATTATCTATATTTTATAGGATGAGTGTGGCAATAGTAACTAGTAAGGGTGTTCATACTAGGGAAGTCTCGTCCCTTCAAAGAAAAAGCTGTGCTCGGAGCTATATTGGTATGGGGCAGAAAGGGAAAAAAAAATCTTGTTAATGTTGATCAGAAGAGCTCATTGTTTTAAGGATGACAAGTCTTTCTTTAATGGCTTGATTTATTGAATTAATCCAGCTGGCAACCAGAACCGCACCCAATAATTCAAACTTATAAAGCTAAGATATAATTAGTCTTTATCTTTTGTCAGATAGTGTTTGGAGGTCTTTGTCAGTTTAATTATTGATGCCTTTGAATCTGTCGAAGTCTGTTGTCTTATGTACTTCCTAACGCCTTTATAAAGGCCGTGTATCATTCAGTTTGAAATAAGAGGGAAGTTCAGAAAAATCTCTCTATCGTTTATCTTTTCTCTTCCAAACCATTTTTATCTTCACAAGACTAATATATCATCCTCTAAGAAAAGCAGCTCGACAGGTAAAAAAATACTGAACCCTCATGGTAATTTATTTATTTCTATATTCCGAACTAAATCTTTAGGTAGCTTGGAGGCTAAAAGGCAGTCCCTTTTAAGGCTTGAACAAGAGGTTCGCCCACCGTGGGATAGCATACCTGCTCTCCAAATTGACCTGGTCCTCCCTGGTTCCGAACATAGCCACACATAATATATCATATTAAAATTTTTGGTGGTATTAATCCTTTCATAACTCTATATATTCACTTTCTAAATGTTAAATTAAGATTGGGTCATTTAGCATACTAATTAAAATTACTCGTTAATAAGCTGGATTTCTTTGTCAAACTTCAAATAATGGAGAGCACACGTCTTTTTAAATAAATCTGGAAAAAAAAATCCATCACTATTAGCATAAAACCATTTCTTGGGACGTCAACCGTCATTCACGGCGAAACTGACCCCAAGGATCCGAGGGAAAAATCTTGTCGAAAGTAAAGTGATAATGGAAAAGGTCTACAGCAATAAAGCAAAGAAAAAAAAGACGGGTCCCGCCAATGTGGAAAAGTAGAGCCACCAGTGCTTTAGCGTACACGTTTTGCGTTGTCCACGAGATTTTTAGTCAAAAGATAATAAATAAATAAATAAAAAGCATGAGGATACATTTTTTTTTTGGGTCGTACGAGGATACATTTCGGTGGCAAGAAAAAAGGTTCCTTATCTGCTCCTTCCTAGAAATTTCTAAAATTACCGTCACTATCTTCACTTTTTTAACTATTAGCAATAAGGAGTTAAAAATTTAGGACTTGATTGAACCAATTTGACAAATTTTAGGACTTGTTTGCACTTTCGTGACAACTTTTAGGGCTCGTTTGCACTTTTCGAAAGTTTTAGGACTCAATTGCACTTTCCTAACAAGTTTTAGGACTTGATCGCATTTTTTTAAAGTTTTAGGATTCAATTGCACTTTCCTTACTAGGACTTCTAGTGCACTTATCCCTAAAAAAAAAAAAAGAGATCTCATTATTTAATAAACTCATAAGTTAACCACATCCTCATTCTTGCTCATTTCCTGCATTATAGATGGTTACGTCCACGTCATCATTGATCCACAAGTCTACGATATATTTCACCGAAATAACAATACCTACTCGCGCCCCTACTTGAATAGTTTTTTGTGGACTTTACTGCTTGTCATTGTTTGTTTGCAGAATCTAACCTGCTATCTTCAAGGCTAACCAAACTAGAGGTGCTTGACTTGAGTTATAACTCTCTGGATAATTCTATTCTGCCCGTTCTCGGTACAATTCTGTCTCCCAGGTGAATATACCTACGACACAACAATTTGAATGGGACTTTACTTATAAATGGTAATTTCTCCAGCTTATTCTCTGCTCATAATTCGGTACAAAATTGCCATCCTTGACTTGAGTTGACACTGTTTGTGGAAAAATTAGGTGGTTTTAGGCTCCGTTCGTTTGGCGAAAAATATTCTCCTT